TGGTGCCTAGGCACCATGCCTCCGTTCACTTGGACGGAGGAATCGTCCAAGGGTGGACGGAGGCATACGGAGGCATCTCATGCCTCCGTCCACTTGGATGGAGGTTCTTAAGTTCTCTTAATTTGGAAGATTAAAAAGATAATATTTCTATTAAGCGATTTAAGATGATGCTGAGAATCAAGAGAGTTCCAACTGTTGTTTCTATTTACCAAAAGGAAGAGGCAAAGGAAGGCGGCTGTGGCAGGAATTGCCTGAGAAAGTGTTGTCTTCCATGTATCAATTGAATTTCTTCGATTATTTAATGGTTTTCCCTTTTTAATAAAATTTGGATTGTAATATTTACTGTATTTTCGAATTAATTAGGAGCAAAGCTGCCTCTGTATGCTTTCAAGAGGGTGAATAAGATTTCTTGGAACGTTGACGTTACCTTCCTACAAGGCATCATTGGCGCAAGGACAAAAATTTTGACGGGAATTTTGAAAATAGGCAAGCTCAGACTTCTTTTAAAATGTATAAATTAAGAATGAATAAATGACTATAAATATTTTTTTTTTCCAATCATTTATACAGATACCAGATATACACGCAAAATCACAGCCATCTCCATGCATAAAAAAAAAGCTGAGAACTCACAAGTGAAAATTGGATAAATGCTTCAAAATTAAATTAGATCCCAAATCTGAAGTTGGGGATATGAAATTATGGTCAGTGGTTGCAAATGGAAACAAAAACTCTCACAATTTTAAATCCAATTGGGAACATTATTGTCAAATTCTTGAATTTACAATATGTTAAACCAAAGATTCTAGCGATGCTAATGCATCTTATTTGGTCCAAAAATTTTAAACACCATCCACACTATTGCCACATTTAACACCAACTAATGTTGAATAATCAAAATAATAAATCCTTATCTAGTACAGAACTTTTAAACACTAAACAAACTTTTGCCACACATAACACAGCACTAATGTTGAACATTTTAAATGCCATGGGATACTCCTTTTAGACATCCCCGTTAATCATATGTCAACACCAAAAAGAAGGTCATTCTTCTGACTTA